TTAGCAATCCCTGCTTAGTTGTCATAAGCCGCAGCAGCATAATAATAAAGGGTATTTCCAGTTAGCTTCTCTAGATCTGGTGTTTACAGGAACATTGGCATGATGTACGAGTGGAACGTTTGGCTCCCGCGCATCACACAGCATGTTTCCAATATCAATGACACCCAGTTGTGTGATACAATATTTACACAAAGACATATCCTGCTTAGCAGACACTGAATATTCATTGGAATAACACAGCTCATGATGAATTCAGGTGACATTACCACAGATGTCACGTACAGTGTATTATTGTGAAATTATTAGTGTATTTACATTCTATTGAACCCTGCAATAATCATCTTTTTTAATTTCCTTTCCTGTGAGAATAACCAGTAGAGCAGTTAAAATATATGTGTTTGCTCTGTTTTAATGACACTCCGATCTCCATAGAAAGGGGGGTGGGAATCTATGTTCTCAAACCTAACCTGAGCTGACATATTTTCTGCTTCAGTTCAGTTATTGAATGAAAAAGCAGAGTTCAGCTAACAATGACTTTTAGTACTGCGATGAACTAAATATTTCATGCCCCCTATAGTTTCATGCCCCAGCATTGAAAAGCATTCCCCATTTAAGAGAGGGTTTTTTTTAAAAGCAATAGCTTCGAAGGTAGTTGAAATGCTTGAGCTATTTAGGATGCATCAAGCCTTGCTCAGAATGGCCTTTGTTCACCCTCAGTGATATCAGCAAATAGCCAGTCTCACTGACAACGCACAGTTTCGTGATATCATAACATTTATGGTGTGAGCCTTGATTGGCTGGGATCACTCCCAGAAGAAGACGAAAACAAACCATGACCTAGAGGGGAAAGGTGCCAAACACCAGCAGATATGCAGAACAAATGGCAGCAGACAGGACTGAAAAACTTCTTTAAAATATCTGAATTGACAGCTATCCTCACCCCCTCATCTTGGAGAGGACCTTTGACCTGGAAATCAAAGCAAGAGACTATTTGGTGCACCTGTAGATAAAAAAGGGAAAAGGCTACTGTATTACATTTACCCCCCCCCCCCCAAAAAAAAAAGAGAGAGAGAGAGAGAGAGAGAGAGAGAGAGAGAAAGGAAATGGGTGGAATGAATACAGAAAACCCACGAATAAACTAGCAACTCTGATAAAGGAACAACAGACAAAAGAACATTCTGCTTTGCAGAATATATTTAACAAAACAAAGTCCTGCAGACACAGTTTTTCATTTGCAAGAGAACACATAATCTTTCTAAGCCTTTCCCCAACCTTGTAACATTGGATTCAAAACTTAACTTGAAAACAAGACGATGAATGAAGTTTTCAATTTAATACTTTTTACTGTGAAAGCAGATTTGCATGTTCCAGCAAACCTCAACAAGTCCTGCTTTCAGTTTCTGAAACTCATGTGGTTGGATGGGACAAGGATAAAGATGTTGTGTTGCTAAAAAAAAAATGCCTCCACTCAGCCATTATCAGTTACCCTGCAAGTGTCTGCAGAATGCCACTCTCAGTTAGTATCTCTATAAATGGTGGTGGGGAGGGGTGCTCATCAAATCCGCTAATGACAACGAAGTTGCCGGGCCAGCTAACAAAATGAACTTCAATAGATATCAATGCAAAGTTCTACATTTAGGTAGGAGGAATCAGTCGTGCATATGTAGCACAGACGCTGCCTGGCTTGACAGCAAAACATGTGGAAAGGATGTAGGATGGTCTTTCCCAAACTTGGGTCTCCAACTACTGTTGGACTACAACTCCCATCATCTGTAGCTAGCAGGACCAGTGGTCAGGGATGATGGGAATTGTAGTCCAATAAAGGCTGGAGACCCAAGTTTGAAAAACACTGATCTAGGTTTTTTTTAAAAAAGAAGACCACAAATTAAAGATAAGTCAGGAAAGTGATGTGGCAGGCGGGAAAAGGCTAATGAAATTCTAGGTTGCATTAACAGAGCTATAGTGTCCAGATCACAAGAAATTTCCTTACTGCTCTATTCTGCTTCAGAGTACTGTGCCCGGTTTTGAGCACTAAATCACAGCCTAGTGCTGCTTTGCATATAACTTGCTTGCATGGCATACAGCACAGGGATGCCCCATGTCCTGTATGTTGGTTATAATACAATGCTACTTACTTTCCTGTCTCGTACCAGCAGGGGGAGGGGACCCTGTGGATGCCAGGAAGGCTTCTGCAGGTTTGGGTGTGCACAGGTGCCTTACTGGTGTCTCCTGTTATAGCACCTATTTAATCAGACACATCCAAAGGTAGATAAATGCATGCATAAGATTTCCTTTGTGATTTCTGATCTGCCTGATTGACCTTGATTGGAATGCTTCCTTTGTTCACTCTTGTCTTTCTTTCATTTTCCTAGGAGCTTTCTTTCTTCTTAAAGAAATTGCATAAATAAAGAATAAAAAGAGAGAGAAGTGGTTTGGATTTGAAGGCTGCGAACCTTTCAGCCGCATTCCCCACTCATCCCTATTAATGGCAGAGTGAGAAGATAGGAGAGGATGTCTGTCGGCACGAGGAGTAACTTTTCGGAGGGGTCGCCTTCTGACATTCTCTGCCCGTATGAACAGACCAAAGCAAAGAGCCAGAATCCCGCTCTCCGAATGTCTGAATAATTCATGGGCATACTCCAGTCATTGCAACTATTCTGTTTTCCGTTCTCCTGCTCCTCTCTCTGCTCTTATTTACTCTGTCTGATTCCTGCTGCCTGCGACTGTCTGATCCACACTCGCCCCGAATACTGAACAGAGAATACTAATATTGTTGAGAAAATGTTCCTTGCATGAATGCAGCCGCAGTGCCCTCATATTTTATTGATTTGAGGTGGGCGTGGGCGTGCATGTGTATTAGAGGTTTGCTCGCTTTTTCCATAGTGCTGCAAAATATTATTCACATTTGTAATACTTTTACCGTGCCGTCTCATTATTCTCCAATCCTTTCCCCTCTCCAGGTTTTGCGTATGGATGCAAGTTTCCAGGACAGCTCACATTCCGAAGGTGCTAAACTTTTGCAGCCCCCTCTGAGTTTCCAAAGGGGGCTGGCAAACTGCCCACCACCTTATTGCTTCTGGTAATAATAGTATAATAATTCATAATAATAATAATAATAATAATAATAATGGCAACAGTAGCAGCAGCGGCAGCAACAACAACAGCAATAGCAGCAGCAACAACAATAACAACAATAGCAACAACAACAATAAAGGTAAAGGTAAAGGTAAAGGTACCCCTGCCCGTACGGCCCAGTCGTGTCCGACTCTAGGGTTGCGTGCTCATCTTGCTCTAGAGGCTGTGAGCCGGCGCTGTCCGAAGACACTTTCGGGTCACGTGGCCAGCGTGACGAAGCTGCAGCTGGCAAGCCAGCACCAGCGCAGCACAAGGAAACGCCGTTTACCTTCCCGCTATAAAGCAGTCTCTATTTATCTACTTGCACTTAAGAGTGCTTTTGAACTGCTAGGTGGGCAGGAGCTGGGACCGAACGACGGGAGCTCACCCCGCCACGGGGATTCGAACCGCCGACCATACGATCGGCAAGTCCTAGGCACTGAGGTTTTACCCAGAGCGCCACCCACGTCCCTCCAACGACAATAACAATAACAATAACAATTTTATTTGTACCCCACAGATCTGACTGGGTTGGCCCAGCACGTTGGGTGCCTTCCAGCATACACAAGAACATAATAAAACATTAAACATTAAAAACTACCCTATACAAGGCTGTCTTCAGATGTCTTCTAAAGGTATGGCTGGCACACCCTTATCCAGTAGCATTGCAGGGGACAATGAACAGTCTGAGTGCACACACTCCACAAATTGCTGTTCCATATGCACATAGATGCTTGCTCCACTTTCAGAGGTGCATATCATGTTCCTCAGTTTTGCAGCCAAGAAGATTTCCAAAATACTGTCACAAGGAAGCCAAGGAAGCATTCGCAGCATCTTTATTTGATTTAGCCATTAAGAGGTAGAACTTCCCTTTCATGAGTGACTTGCTCCTTTACGAACCCCTTTGAGATCTGCTGTTACAAATAACTAGTGTTGTGCCTGGTAGGACAACCCTGAACCAAGAAAGGAAAAGGAAGCCAAACTCTGAGCCATGAGCAGAAGTGAGGCAGTGTCAGAGGAGATAATGTGAACATACAGGCATGATGGTCTCATTCTGGAGCAAATCACAGGAAGATAGGAATACTTATATACTCATACTCAGTCAGATCACTAGCACATCTTGCTTAGTGTTGTCTACACTGATGGACAGCAGTTCTCTAAACGGCCCTAAATGGCTTCTGTCCTGTATACCTGAAGGAGCGTCTCCACCCCCATCATCCAGCCCGGACACTGAGGTCCAGTGCCGAGGACCTTCTGGCGGTTCCCTAGCTGCAAGAAGTGAGGTTACAGGGAACCAGGCAGGGCCTTCTCGGTAGTGGCACCTGCCCTGTGGAACGCCCTCCCAGCAGATGTCAAGGCAATAAACAACTATTTTACTTTTAAAAGACAACTGAAGGCGGCCCTGTTTAGGGACGTTTTTAATGTCTGAAGCTGTATTGTTTTTAATATTTGGTTGGAAGCTATCCAGAGTGGCTGGGGAAACCCAGCCAGATGGGCAGGGTATAAATAAATTATTATTATTATTATTATTATTATTATTATTATTATTATTATTTCAGACCTAGGTTGGAGATGTGAGGAACTAGGGATAGAAGGATCTGCCAATTTCTATGCTCTCAATTTCTCGTTTTCCCCATCTGATATTCAGTTCTCCACATTTTGCAGCAATTTGTGAATTCTGGGGCTTTCCACTTGTGAATGCCAACAGTAGCTTTCAACCTGCCTGGGTGCAGCTGGGGGACTCCGCCATGGCAGAGCCTCTCCTCTACCCACACTGCCTGTGATCCTCTCCCCTGGCAGATGCCAGCAGAGAAACACCTAGGCACCATCCTGTACTCCCCTCCAGCCGTCAATGTCAGGGGGTTATGAATGCACTTAAGACAGTGACTGAGATAGCTCAGTCGGTAAGAGCATGAGACTCTTAATCTCAGCGTTGTGGGTTCAAGCCCCACATTGGGTTTACATAGTATGTATTCGATCTATCAAACATTCTGTGGTTATTGATGCAGTTCTGTAAGACTAAATGAGAGAGCTCAGCAGAGAAAAGTCAAAATTTCATCACTAGTTTGGCCTTCCCAGTGGAACATACTTCTGACAAGACATAAACAGGATTGCACAGAATGTCTTTGTGCACTTGCATGCACATTGCACTGGAGAAAAGACACATCTGCCAATACCCCCTTCGAAGAGATTTGATGTCTAGAGACCTGAGGGATAGTGACTCAGTACTGAGCTAGATGCACCAAGGGTCTGACTCAATATGAGGCAGATTCCTATGTTCCTAATAGAGGCGAAGGAAAGTTTTCCTAGGGACAGAGATAAGAAAAAAGGGTCTGTTCCTGGTAAACAGGGCCACAGGAGACTATCAGCCTAATTCTATATATGCCTACTCAGAAGCAAGGCCAAGGACTGCACCTTACAGAAATCTTGTACATCTCAGGTTAAGAACTTAATTTGTTCTGGAGGTCCGTTCTTAACCTGAAACTGTTCTTAACCTGAAGCACCACTTTAGCTAATGGGGCCTCCTGCTGCTGCCGTGCCACCACAGGACAATTTCTGTTCTTATCCTGAAGCAAAGTTCTTAACCCGAGGTACTATTTCTGGGTTAGCGGAGTCTGTAACCTGAAGCGTATGTAACCTGAAGCGTATGTAACCTGAGGTATCACTGTACTTTTATGTCTTTAACTTTGCAGCAAGGATTCGCAGCTGTAAGAGAGTGGTGTGCTGGTTATTGGGATGCAAATAAAGCCCACTAACACAAGCCTCAAGTTGTGGGAGTGGGAGGGCCAAAAAAAAAAAAAAAGTGGCAGGGAGGCAAAAAGGGCTGGGAGTCTTGAAGGCCAGTGCGCAGAGTCAGAAAGTCTAGACTCCAGATGTGAATGTACAGCCTCCGAGAACGCAGCACCATAAATATATCAGCCAGATGTCACGAGGCCCAAGCTACAAATCTCTGTGAGTGGTGACAAGCCTTGGCTTTTTGCTCTTTGCAGTATGCAGCTCCTCCCAGCATTACTGGTCACTTGGTCGGAGGCAGCTGGCGGAGGCTCTGCCAGGCTGGAGAGAAAGGCAGCTTAGAAGTGCCATCCAGCTTGTAACTGGGTGGAGACTGTTTGGTCTCCTGCAGGAGTAACAGTGACTCTGAGAGAAAATAATCTTGAGAAGTATGTGGGGATTGGAAGGGGAGGTAGGAAAAGATTTGGGTTGAAATGCTTCCGCTGAAGAGAGGCTTCTTTAGCACTACGGTTCCTTCCAAATTCTGCTCGCTTTGCATGACCTTTCTTAATTGAGTTTGATTCTGACTTGTCAGTGTCAGATCCAGACATGATCTGCCCATCACACGAATCTCAACTTTTCTGTAACCATAAAGCTTCACACAGATTCAGAGAAAAGGATGTGCCCATGTCAGGCCAGCTTGACCAGGCCTTCACATGCGGGAAATAGTTTCATTTCAAAAACTATGAAACTAAGCAGACTGTTCTGCTCTTAATGCCAAGTGCACTTCCATCATTCCAGAGAACAATTAATGCACAGCCTCCCAATGTCCTGGAGTCAGTAAAGATATTTCTTCCAGCATTATCCTTGGGGCCTTTTAGGCAGACTCATCCAAATGTTGAGCTGGTATCTTGGAATTTGTCCCAGGATCTTCCCAGGCCAGAGATGCCACCGGCAATTTGACTAAATGTCAGTGGCCATTGCTAGCTGGCTTTTGAAAAGCTGTCAAAGAATCACCCCATAAAATTGTCTTGCTTCGCAGAGCATGCAAAGTACCATCCACTGAATATCGACAGTAACTCTTTCATTAGGAGCGAAATATTGTTTTATTAAATAGCAATCAACCAACGTCGATTTTTTCCTGTTACTTTGGAAAGTATTGTGCATAATTAGTGTAACAGTTACAATAGTAATCAACATTATTGCCCAGGAGATAGGGAAGGAAGGAAGGTGCTTGGCGTTAACATCACAAACCTTTCATGTGTTTGGACAGAGCTTTGCGACCTATAAAGGAAAGATGGTAGATCACATTTACCCGTAAGTCTTTCCTTGATTTGGGTGGTCTTCAACAGTATATAATACACAAGCAGTCACTCTTCACTGTGTTCATCAGAAAGCGAGGGAAACTAGAATGATCTACAGAATTTTATGACAGAATAAATTTCAGAGTTTAAGGATGCTTTGGGGCACTATATAGTATTGTGCTTCTGATAACGAAATCCCCTGGCACCAAATGGCTAAACTGGTGTGAGAGCATAGAATGTTCCAGCTGCAGAATGCTTGTGAACATCCCAACTACTTGGAGAACAAAGCTTTCAAGATCTTTGAAGTCCAGCTTCTTAGAGGACAGGGAAAGTTAATTTGTGTTTGTTGTATCTGTAGACCAATTTTCAGACCGGGCCTGCAAGCCTGGGGTTTAAGTAGGGATGGAGGAGAGTTTTGTTCAGCCCACATTTTGAAGGAAACTGACCTAATTTGCACCTCCTGGATTAATACATAGGCCAGAAAACAGTTATGCTTCAGATTTCACAGTTGGAATTTTACGGTGCAGTTCTCATCTAAAAATGTACCAAATTATGTTTTTTAAATGTAAGCTGAAATACATTTAGAAATATGTGCATTGATATAAAATATGAATGAACTGGATGTATACATTGTGATAAAATACATATAGAAATACATGTAGGGAAACTGCATTGGTTGCTGTTTGCAATGACCTGTGTCAGGAGGGAGACAAGGTGTGTGTCACTGTGTTGATTCTCCTTGATCCCTCAACAGCTTTCCATAGCATCTGTCTGAGCTGGGTACACCAAACTGCAGTGCTTCCACTCCTGTTTAGATGCCTCCCCAGAAGGTGGTTCTTGCGGAGCACTACTCAACTCCATGGGTTCTCCAGTATGGAGTTCCACAGGGATCATCTATGTGGAGCCACTTAGTTGGGGGCATACAGAGTTTCAGGATGTGTTGTTGATGACATATGCCAGGCATAGGCAACTTCGGCCCTCCAGATGTTTTGAGACTACAATTCCCATCATCCCTGGCCACTGGTCCTGTTAGCTAGGGATCATGGGAGTTGTAGTCCCAAAACATCTGGAGGGCCGAGGTTGCCTATGCCTGGCATATGCTGATGACGCACATATCTATTTCTCCTTTTAATCTCCTTGCTCTTCAGGGCAAGATGGTTGTCATTTTGGCTGGGATTAAGCCTATGACAGGCTCAGGGCAGGAGTAGCTTGGTTGGGAAGTCTGAAGTCTGGGAAGAGGCCCCAGAAGTCAGGAAGACTGAAAAGTAGAATGTCTAAAGGCAAGAAGGGGGGCAGAACAAGCAATGGATTAAGAAACAGGAACCTGTGAAGGAGAAGGAAGCTTGAGGAAAGGAGCAGATGTGAAATGGAACTAAGGCAATGCCATTTACTAATGCGCATGAAACTGGAAGTTCTTAGGTTACTGTGTTACTTACACACACAGCCTGAGATTTATCATTACTAGGTGAGACACATATGCTCTCCAGACCTCAGTTATCAAGACACCTGATCATAGATGGTTCAACAGAAGTTGCGCACTATATAACCCTGCCAACAGAGCAAATTGTTCTAGGTGACTCAGGAAGAAAGCCCACTTCTATGTAACAAGGAGGGTAATAAAATATGTTGAAGTAATAAGGGCACGTAACCAATACTTTAAGGGACACGGGTGGCACTGTGGATTAAACCACAGAGCCTAGGGCTTGCCGATCAGAAGGTCGGCGGTTCGAATTCCCACGATAGGGTGAGCTCCCGTTGCTGGGTCCCTGCTCCTGCCAGCCTAGCAGTTCGAAAGCACGTCAAAGTGCAAGTAGATAAATAGGTACCACTCCAGCAGGAAGGTAAACAGCGTTTCCGTGCGCTGCTCTGGTTCCCCAGAAGCGGCTTAGTCATGCTGGCCACATGACCCGGAAGCTGTACACCGGCTCCCTCGGCCAATAAAGCAAGATGAGCGCCACAACCCCAGAGTCGGTCACGACTGGACCTAATGGTCAGGGGTCCCTTTACCTTTAACCAATACTTTATTAGGATGTTCTGGATTCATTGTAACAAACCTATAAGAACATCCAAACAGCACATAAGAGTACCACATCATGTGTTCGCCTGAGCATAAAAAGTGACATGTGGGTTCTCTTCCCCACAGGGAAATGACACTGCTAAGACTTAGGGGGTTAGTACTAATCTACAGTTATTATTATTTTTTCTGAATTTACGGCAAGGGTATCCCAGAGGAGAAATGTGCAATTGCTAGGGGTTGTTTAGTGATACGATTCATCTAACCTGAATCTGACCAGCAATGCACCGCCTTGATTTGCTCAGTATCTTCAAAAGTCGGTTGCTGTATTGCACTTCTATGGCAAGATCATGCCCTTAGCTGATAATGTAGCTGATGAATCATCGGTGCTGAAGAAAATTGGATAATCTACCCAGAGCAATCCGATGCGACGCCATTCGCTTTGTAATAACACATAATGGACAGCTTTGAGGACAGCTGATTTTTAATCAGAACAATTGATATTTGCAGAATTCGACCTCACTCAGCTGTTTTTGAGAAAATAAGTTATTGCAATCAGAAAGTGACTTCTTGCCATCAAAGCAGCTTATTTCAGTCACCACCACTCACATCAAACCTTGCATTTCTTCCACCCTAACAACTGACTATTATCATCTTCCTACTAGCTAGGGGCCAAGCTAGTCTTTACATTGCAGACTCCTCAAGGAGGACATGTTACCCTTTTATATCCAGAAGTTTTGGATGCAGAATAATTTATTTGCTTGCATTTTATGTAAATCCACCTAATTGGCTCTCCCTGAACCAATAAGCAAACCAGAGCACAGCTACCTTTCAATGTCTACCCTTCTCCAAATTTTGCGATTCAGTTCTTCAAAAAGTGTGCATTAAAACGCATATATCAGTGAAAACAATGTACAAAAATGCATTACA